AAATAGATTGGAGTTTGATTTTCAGTTATATTTTTAATTTTATAATGTCACAAATTATGTAGTAGAACTCTGTGTTGAGTGTTTTTTTATTGGTTTCCTGGGGTGTAGGGCTGGAAAAGACACCATGTTGTTTCTTGTGTATGTTTAATGTGTTCATAATTTAAACAGCATCTTTTTAATTGTTTCTCTAAGGAAATAATAAAATATTATGCTGAATATGGAAATACTGAGGAAAAATGGAAGAAACCACCAGTGCTTGAGAGACTGAAGGTATGAGATAATAAATATTCTTGAGCACACTAACAGTAAAATAAACAGGCACTGGTGTAGAGCGTAAGGATGTTTGGCATATGCAGCTGGAGAAGTTAATCTGCATGGAAAGAAACAGTGTAAGGAACATGAAAGGAAAGGAAGGAGGAAGTGTGTGAAAGGAGGTGAGAGATAAGAATGAGCAAGGAGAAAAGCAGAAGTGAGTTCTGTGAGAGGTATGTCTGAAGTTAAGTCAAAGACTACACCTATTGAAAATAGCTATTGAAAAAGAGGCATCGGATATATTGGATAGTATATTAGGCAGGCAGGAAGAAAATGGGCAGCAAGCCAGATCGATCGATCTATCTATTTATTTATTTATTTAAGATTTGTTGCTAATGTTTTTCTCTGCTTATTCTTTCAACAGGAAATGGCCAAAGCAGAAGGTCTGTGGAACCTTTTTCTCCCAGATGTCAGTGGTCTCAGCCAGCTTGACTATGCACTGATAGCTGAAGAGACAGGGAAATGCTTCTTTGCTCCTGAGGTTTTTAACTGTCAGGCACCAGGTTAGCAATCCTGTCCTGTGACTACATCACTGAGAGCATTAAAAAGTGGGGCTTCTTACACATTACGAGTTGTGTGTCTCAAGAAGTGAACATGACTGCTGATTTCTTACAGACACTGGAAACATGGAGGTCCTGCACATGTATGGGACTGAAGAGCAAAAGAAGGAGTGGCTGGAGCCTCTCCTGGAAGGGAAGATTAGTTCTTGCTTCTGCATGACAGGTAAGTTGTTCTCTGGAAGAAAGTTAGAGGCAACTGGCAGAAATTTCACATGGCATATGCTAAAAGTACAGAACTACAAGTTGTTACGTGTTAATGAATTAAGACAGAAAAGTTCCACTGTGTCTGTAAATGTGTTTGAATATGAAATAGTCTGAGGTGTCAGTGCAAAATGAAGCACCCTTGCTGCCTTTCCCTGATAGTTACCATTTTTCTTGGTAGTTACAATAATTAGTATTTGCTTTCCATATATTTTCAGTTTATTTTTAGTACCAGTAGAATACATTTTATTGCATCAAGCAGGTTTACAGTACAACTTAACGTTTTTTCGTTACGTGCTTTGGCGTTCTCTAAAAACATCTGATTAGGTACAAGTATGATTGTTGTGATTAAGGTTGTGTAGTTTTGCAGTATGTCTTACATAGTGGTTTTAAGACATAACTTGAAAATGTCTCACAAAACACACAATATACTTGATTTGTGTCTGTAGTTCAGCATTATACTCATTTTTGCTCTTGAAAGCTTGTGACATTCAGCATCTCTGGAAGGCCTGGCCCTTAATATAGGAAGGTAGCTTTTGCACATGTGATATCGAAATCTTGATCTGTGTCCGCAGGAGTTGAGAGAACTTAGCCTTGCAGAGTTGGACCCTTATTTTGCAAATTCTGTTTCACTGTGTTCCTCAAGAGGAAAGAGGTGCTTTTGCTTTAAAAAAGATGGCCTATAAAAGAAGTTAAGGGTGGAAGGAGAGAGGAAGAATCTTTCCTCTTCCAAACAATCATTGATGACATTTTGCTGGCAACTTTGTGTAACCGATGTCATAAACCATTACAAAAGTAGTTTAAATCTCTTTATTTTCACTTGAGAATAGCCTAAAGGGGAAAAAAGGCTGAGGACAGTTATCTAAATGTACATTGGAAGGGAGAAGGGTTTTAAAACATAAGAGAAGGAAGAAGGCCATTGACTATAAAGAGGAGTCTGAGTCCAAAAGCAAGTAAGTTTAAACAGGGTATAAGTAACAGATTGTTAGATAACAGAACGCCTTTGACCACCAGCAGAGTGAAATTCTGAAAGCAGCTTTTCTACTGGGAGCAAAACAGTGTTACTATCAACAGAGTATATCTAGATCCCTATATTTGTGGAGGTCGTACTATCTGTATATTTAATGCAGTGGTTTCTTTTTTTCTTTAACACAGAACCTGACGTGGCTTCAAGTGATGCCACCAATATGCAATGCAGCATTGAACGAGATGGAAACAGTTATGTGATCAATGGCAAGAAGTGGTGGAGCAGTGGTAAGTATGGTAAACCTGAATAAGAATGACTAAATCTAAAATTCTTTCCAAGAACTGATAAACCAAAAAATTTTATGCTCCATTTCTGAGATGGAAAAATGTCTCTTCTTGAGTAAAGGTAATAGAACGTAACACAGTGGAAAGAGCTGAATCGAACTTTTGTTCTATGAAGCAAAGTCCAAGACTTGAATCCAATCTGAGTTCTTGGGCCCTTTTTGTAACTTCTGTATTTCATTCACAGAATAAACTCAACTATTGTTCTTTAAACCTTACCTCTTTCCATTGGGTAGCTTACACGTTTATGGCTGTAGTCTTTCAAATTTGTTTCTGTGAAGCTGTCTTTGGCAGCTATGAGGTTTGAGTATACTGTGTAGTTACAGTAAAATTTGGCTGCTTTTTAAACTAGCCTGTGATGCTGTTGGACTGACTCTTACAGGTGATTTTCTTATATTGTATTTCCCAGAAAAATCAGTGGATTAGACTCTAAGTGGTAAATGTCCTTGATATTATAATGCCATTACTTTTGTACTGAAACATACATGATAGCAACTGGAAAATCGTAATTCCCTGGGTGTTTGGAAACAACTACATAAACTGAGTCACTAACTGAAGTGAAACTTGAATGTTTCATTTATGTACCTTTGAGTGTGGCAGCTACCTAATGATATACGCTTGTGCAATACCTAGACTCACTAGAAGATAGGGCTCGCTCTCTTTTCTAGTACTGCAAAACTGATTGCAAAAGGAGGCATGATATCTTGTCTCTTGACCTTCAAGGGTCGCTTAAATGCTGCCTGCTACCTTTGCCCTGGGTCAGTGTCTCTCAAAGGTGCATTGCAGTTCCTAAGGAAGTAATGGGAAGGTTTGTAGGTGGTCACAGACACAAAATGTTATTCATAAGATTAGTTATGTGAATGATAAAAAGGAGAGTAAACAGAGTAAGCATGATTTGGTTTGTCGTATTTCTAACAAAACTAATTAGGACAGTCATATTTGCATATAGACAGATACACAAAAGGCACTGCAATTTCAAGTTTGAGAAACACATACATGCAGCTCTGTCTTAGTCGGGATTTCTTTTCTGCCTGGTTAGTTTTTTTGGCCGTTTTGGGAATTCCAGAAGCCTGGCAGCCTGGTCAGAGCATCACTCTGGCTGCAACCACTCTGTGTTGGTGAAGATAAATCATAAACCACACATGCAAGGAGTCAGTTGCTTTGTGGAAGAACTGGAGTTTCTTACCATGCCCTGTGTGGGTATTTTGCACTTCTACATTAAATCCAGTATGGCTGAAACTTGTCAGATTGATGGTGTAAGTATAGACCATCTGTCAAGCACTTGTGACTTATCTGTTCACGCCCTAGTATTTCTCAAAATACTGGGCAGAAATTCTGCAAGCATTTGTCATCCAAACAGCGAGAAGAGGCTTATGTCTTGTTTATGCTACTGTTGTTCCTTGTCTGTCATTTTAGAGCTTTTTCTGCCAGTCCGTAATTGTGTAACTAGGAACAGTGTCTCAGAATGAGAGATTCTTGTTGGCTCTCGTAAGCCGTAGATCAGGCACTTTGTCAGAGCTCATGGGATGCTTGAAGGCAGGGACAGTATACTGTAATACCACTTTTTTCATTGTGAAAGCAAATATGTCAATATATTTGAAATCCTTCCAGAGAGTCAAGGAAAACTGCTGTTTTCCTGGAAGCCTTGCCAGGACTGTGGCAGGGGACAGCTTTGGTACCTCTCTATGGAAAAATGGTAAATCCCACCAACCATGAGCTTCGTGTGGAGTCAGATCCTCTTGTGTTCATCAAACAAAGCCTTTGCTGGTTGATAAATGCCCACGATGAGAGATATCAATACCTACTAAAACAAAACAAACACGAAGTTTTGTAAAAAAATGACAGCCAGTGGACTTTTTGCATTCTCTGATTTTATTGAAACTCATATAGTTTAGCAGATACAGTTATTGCAGTGTTTGATTCATTTTACAGATCCTGACTAGAAATTCTAGGCCCTGTATCTGAAGAGGAACTTAACTTTTTCTTACATTTCTGCTAATGCTTTGACTGCACTACTTTGGCATTTACATTTGACGTGACGTTTACAGAGATCTAGAATGTGCCTGCTACATAAGGCACTGGGTTTGTTGAAGTTTAGGGTGAGCAGACAAGGAGAGGTGAGAGGTCATTTTTGGTAGTTACAGAGGATGAGTTACTGTTTTTTTGTGGAAGATGTTGTTGCTATACATATGGGAAAACACATAGGGAATGGCTTCCCCACCATTCACCTCTCAGTTCTCAGCCATGAACTGATGCCTCATTTCAAGCTGCAAGTGTATCTGTGCAATGGTAGCTGCAGAAGAAAATGGGACTGACTTATTAGGCAAAAGTTATAAAGTTTTACAAAGTAGTTGGAGAAACACAAGTTTATTAACTTTTGGTACAAAAGTTCCTGTACTGCTGTTTTATTCCTGATGTTTTCTTTTCCTGTTTTAATTACATGTTTAGACGTGTACAGATTATTCATTACACAGCTATTTAAGTGCCTAGTACTGTGACCTTTTATAATTTATATCTTGGGTGGTTTTTAGGTATTGGGTTTTGTTGTGGGTTTTTGTGGTTGGTTTGGGGTTTTTTCAGTCAATATCTCCAGAAGTTTCTAGGAATTCCTGTGTTTAGTTCTTGCCTGATGCTACATTTCGGTCAACATGTTCCACTTTGAGCTGCAGTGTAGTGTCTTGACTAGTCTCCAGGTTCAGAAATTTCTCTGAAAGTTGCCTTTCAGAGAAACATCTGCTGAAACAATACCACCAGAATTAGTAAATCATTCCCTTGGTTTTATAAGATAATGAAAGTTATGGAGAGTCTATATAGTGAAACTAATTGTTTCTTCAGTATGGTCTTCGTAATTCATAGAAATTTCTTCAGGTCTTTCGTTCTGTTGTTGTCTTCTCCAGTATCCATAATTTTTTACGATTTTGTTAATATGCATTTTAAAAGAGGCACCCAGAAAGGCGTAGAGAAGAGGGTTCAGGCAGGTGTGAAACAAAGCAATGCTCTTGGTGACCTGGAGTGCGACATCTATGGTTTTACTTGCATCACAGTCAGTAATCAACATGTAGATGGTATCAATGGCTCGCCAGAACTTAACAATGTTGTAAGGTAGCTGGGTAATAATGAAAGTAGCCACTACTGCCAGCAGAACCATGAAAGGTCTGGATTTCTTAGCATTTGCAGATCTAAAGATTGCTCGAGCAGTAGCTGAATAGCAGACCAGCATTACTAGGAAAGGAAGCAGAAATTCCAGAATAATTTCCAGGATTTGAATGGTTGATTTTAAGAGTGTCTCCATGTCCAGTGGAAATACAGGAAGGCATTCGTTCCTGTCATTGTGTTTCTTGACTTGATTAAATATCAGTTCAGGGATACTGAGGAAAATAGCAGACAGCCAGACACAGATGCAGGTAACACTGCAGTATTTACCAATTCTTCGATGACCCTGGGATTCAGAAATGGCCCTGTATCTGTCCACACTGATACAGGCCAGGAAAAGCATGCCAGAGCTGAAATTCATGGTGTACAGGGAAGAAGTGAGCTTGCACATTGAGTTTCCAAGTTCCCATCCCTGCACTGCATTTGCAGCCCAAAAAGGGAGTGTAAAGAGCAAGAGCAAGTCGGCAATGGCTAGGTGCATGATGTACACATCTGTCTTAGTCTTCGGTTTCTTGCAATAGGCATAAATTGCAACCACTAATGAATTCCCAGCAACTCCAATAGTGAAAGCCAATGCAAAGAACACGGGAAGGAATAATTTACTGAAATTTCTCACATCACTTTTTTCACAGAGAAGCTCATATGTATTGTAATCTGTAAGAGAGCTGAGATCATCCTCCTCGTCCTCAGTCCAGTAATCAGTTGAGTTACTCATATCCAAGTGCATGGCAAAGCTACAAGACACAAAAAGGAGGGAGGGGAGAAAGGAACACCAAAGAAATAATACTGGTTTTAAATTTGATAATTTCTGTTGAAACCTAAAACCTTTGCTTAGGGTTGCTTATATAACTCAAGCTTAAAGGAGTTGGGTATTGAGAATACATTTGTAAATAATCAAAGTAGAGCTAGACAGTGATGGAGGCAGAACAGACTGTCTCAAATTCTCACATGAAATGGAGTAACTGACTACATCCGTGTGTGCAATGCAAAGTCAAATGGATTCAACTGAAATGCTTTAATTAACCTTAGCATTTGAGATTGCAAGGTGCTTGGAGTGCACCGCACTGGTTTCCACATTTCAGCTGGGGAGCCGTCATTGCTTAAGCTGCTTTAAGTGGCGTTTGACAGCATTCCATTGCAAAATACATTTGTCTGGGTTGAAGTTACACCTTTCTCTCTACAGCAAAGCAGAGGAGTACAAATTGAAGGCTGTAAATGCTGTTACAATAGAGTGGATAAGGAAGAGTAACAGATTAACTGAGAGGCAAGCAGTAGTATATGTGCCTACTGTCATAAATTTTGGCAAATTTGGGATATGAGTATCATATAGGGAGAGTGTGCTTGTTGGTTTCTCAGGCACGCATTTACATCTCTGTGCCAAAGCACAGCAGTGTCAGTTGCTGACCAGTGGTGGAAAAGGCTTAGTTTAGTCTCCATCCCACACAGCGAGCCGTGCCTACGTGGAATTTCTTACAAACTGCAGTGGGCACACTGCATCCTACAGCTGGAGACTGCTCAGGATGTTATGACAGAAAGGAATCTTATCGCGTACAAAGCTGCCCGCAAGTACCCAAACAGCTCAGAACCTCAGCTGTTTTTTTCCAAGTACTATCTCATGACAGATTTACTCCATAAACACTAAGGCTGCATTCTCACTGCCGGCTCAGGGTTGAACTTTGAGTGTTAGTGACTTCAGACTGTATCTTAAGCAAGTCATGTCCTACAGTATTTTTTTTTCTGTAATTGTGTTCATTGACTTATTTGCTGAAATTCTTTCCATTATAAACTGCAGTCCAGTGCCCTGTTTTCTTGAAATAGATGAGATTAAAATTTCTTAACAGTGGTAGCACAAACTAGCTGAAAATGAAAAACACATGCACCTTTCTCATCATCTGCAGTGTTTCAGAATTTGAGGCCAATGTTGCTGAAAGCAGATTCTTATCTGATATTCTGCCTCAGAGATACAATTTGGCTTTTCCAAGCTCGGTAAAACTTCAAATGCTATTTCTGTTTTTTAGACAAGACTTTAAATGAAGGGTTGCCAAACCTTTGTTATAAACAGTATGTCTTAAAATATTTTTTTAATGTGTTCTGTCTACCAGGTAAAATGAGTTACTGGTTGATCCCATATTCAGGGACACAGACCAATGAAATAGAAAGAAATTAATAATTACTATTTTTGCTTGATACTTTTTTTCAGTTAATCTGCTATCTAGTTGTTTTTAAAGTGTGTTAGAAATTAACTGTTTGGTTTTGCTTCATCCTTAATGCCTTTGGATTATTTTGTTAACATTTCAAACCACTTCCCATTAAACTTTAAACGATGTTTGCCTTTAAGTCTTGTAATCCGTCGGTTACTGTTGCCTAAACGAGGTGTGTGGAATGGAAAAATACAGTAATCCTGATTATTAGCTTGGCAAGGGATGTCTATTCTGTGTCTAGCAAGCTGTGTTAGCGGAATTTTTCAGCAGAGTGAATCTTTTGCAGCTTTATAGTACATTGAGGAGGGATTCAGACATCAGCAGCAAATGTGTTGGTTTTTTTTTAGTATAAGAGAAACTGGTGCAGGGAGAGTTTAACCATTAAGCCAAGATTAGAAGCAAATTAAAAGTTAAACTGAAAAGATTTGGTTGTGGTCTAAAACACTACAGAACCCATCTGGGAATGCTTCATCAAATTGGCAAATTTGCCTGAAAGCAAAATAATAAGCACTTCATTACAAACTTCAAGGAGTCTGCATGTTGCAAGCTGGTGTGGCTGTGACAGGGAACGTGCTCTGCTGTCCAATGTGCTTTTGGCTGACCTGACTTCTTGACAGAAGCAAAGTTATCTGAAATGCAACGGTCGATATTTCTCTCTTAAAAACACAGTTATGTTTTGGCTAACATCCCTATTCATATTTGCCACTCCCGTTAAGGTTGTTTCTCAGGCACCCGTGCCCATTACAGAAAGCAGAGCAGTCCCGTGAGAGCCGGTTGCTGAGCAGCAGCGGAGCAGCCTTAGTTTGGTCTCCATCCCACACAGTGAACCACCTTGTGCACACGGGGAGTTTCTTACAGAGTCCTGAGAGGCTTCTCAGGAGGTTATGCACAGAAAGGAATCTTAACACATTCAAAACTGCCCGCAAGTACCCAAACAGCTCAGAACCTCAGCTGTTTTTCAAGTACTGTTTTCTAGGAGGTGTATTAATAGATTAATAGATAGCTTTTCCATGTTTTCTTGCAGAATTATTCCAGCTTTCCTTTTAGTTACTATTCAGTGTTTCTGTGTGTTTAAACTTGACACAGGATTGTAAGAATTTGGCCGAATTAAGTCAATATGCCCAGTTTAAACAGATTTTTTTCTTTAATGAATTAAGCAGTATTCTGTTCTTCTACTGAACAAATCTAATTTTAAGACTGGAAATGAGCATGTAACGTAGTGAAATAGCGTCTCTCTTTAAAGCCAAGTTAACTAAGAGTAAATCCTCGCTCTTCTCTATGTAAATAAGATAAATATATCACAGTTAGTATAGAGAGAAGTAAATATTAAAACAACACTAACCTTTTGTCAGCAGACTAGTAGCAGCCACTGCGACTGAGATGTGCTTCAGTGAAGTGCTCTGAATTAGTCTGACACATTGCAGCTTGTCTTCAAGCACCACACCCTCATCTGGAAGTCAGTTGCACTTTCACTTTGACTTGTCAGTTTAAAAATAAATCAATAAAAATCGTGCTTCCCTGGAAGCTCTCCTCACGTTGAACACGTGCATTTCCTACATTCCTCCCTCTTCCAGCCAGCATGTGAGTGCTCTTTGCAAGGTCAACACTCTCTTACTATTTTATTTTATTGTATGTTGTTGGTTATTTTATTCCTGAAAGTCCAAATGTGTTTTTACATCTTAAAAAGAATGCTATCAGATCACACATTTAAAAGGTGAAAAGGAGAAAAAGAGGTTTGTCTGGGACAAAGTTACATTTTTCCTCAGGGCATGACTGTTCTTTCGATGGCTTCCTATGTAAGGTTTTAAGGGATCCTTATATCCCCTTTTCAAATAACTTTTTAGGGGATACTATAGAAAGATGAGTTTGCTTGTTGTGAGATGAAGGAGCTTGCTCTTTCAGTGTGTGAAACAAAACAGGAAGATGATAGGGAAAAGATGTGAAATTTGTCAACTGGAGTATAAGCAGATAGCACTGCACCCTGTGGGAGAGTTCTCAGGGACTTAACTGTTACCAGACAGACTCAAAGTCAGGATAGTGTTTGATAATATTTCTACAGGAACTGCAAGCCAGGCAGATACTGTACAAGAAAAACAGAAAGATGCTATTCCATTTCAGTGAGCTGTCTGCCTTATAAAGAGTCAAAACTTTTATAGGAAAGAAGATGGAGAAGTTCTGCAGTCTACATGCAGACATTACTATTTCTGCACTGAGGCATGGACTTACCTAATTGCTAAGAATTCCTAAAATGAGCGGATATTGCTTAAATTTCTACAATCTCTACAGCTTCAAATTGGTCTCTTGTGCAAGGGTACCTTGTGCAGAGTTTTGGGAGTCTTCCATGATCTTTCAGAGCTCTTACTTAGTTTGAATAGCAGTCTAATGAGTTTCAGTAAATGCAGTATTGATGCCAAACAACAGAGAGAGATTTTGAGCAGACCAGAGGCCAGCTTTTACGTTTTGGCACACTGACTAAATTGATGCACCTGCCACGGCCGGATTAGCCATCTGTCTGTGCGTCAACTATTTTGGAATATGTGAAAGGTTCTTCAGAATGGGCAGCTAAGAATGTAACGGGCAGATGTTTTCCACATGCTTCATTTGCATTCACAAGAAAGAAAAATGGGTTGGGAAAGGAACTGGAATTTACAGAAAAAGTGCTACAATATTTGTGCGTATTTTTGCTATGTTTTCCTCTTGAGTTATCACAGTGCTTCACTGCTGTTTTTCACAGTGGTGGATAAGACATTTGGGTTGCTTCCAGCACCTCTGCTTCTCACAAGTCATGTTGTTGCTTAGAGGCCTGGGCTCTCTCTCTTTAAAATAAGTGAATCTCTCAGTTCTGAATGGGCTTTATCTCAGTGTGGTCCCCAACAAGACAAGGCTGGAACTGAAAAACGTCCCAGGGAAATATCTCTGTGTGTTGCCTGAAGAAAAGGTGGTTGTGTTACCAGTCCCTAAGAGGTCCTGCGGCCAGGCTGTAGGAAGGCAGCTCATGTAAATCCTGTGCTGTTTATTACAGTGCCTCGCAGCTGCATTAGAACATTTACCACACGTGAACCAGATGCCCAGCAGTGTTATCTGGAGAAGATGAGATAAAACCATGGAATACATTGTGTTAGTGGATAGAAATTACTGCAGGCTTTTGGCAGGGGTCCCCTTTCCTCCCTGAGAAGATCCCCATATTACAACAATCAATACCATGCTGCCAGCCACCCTAATCAGCCCAGTTTCTTCTTGGCAAGGAGAGTCCAGAACATGTGTTTATCAGGGCCTTTCTAGAAAACTGCCAAGTCTGTAATATCACCACCGGCCTCTGATCTTTAGCAGAGGAAGTTAACTCACCAGGCTCACCCGTACAGCAGCCAGCGTGTCATAGGTATTCTGGGCATTCAAGTAGTAGATTATCCTGCCTTAGTCATCTTAGCCAAAAATTTGAAGACTGGACACTGAAAAATTGGTAACTAGATTGCAAGTATTAAGTGCTTTTGGCTTCTGAAACCAGGTTATATGGCAGCTACCTTAAGTAAAGGTTGTACTGTCCGTGTCTGTGCCATGTTTAGTATTCTCCCCCAGAAAGAACCTGTGTAAGCTGTGTGAAGATCAAAAGCATGTTATACCCCCTGATAGCGAAGATTACACTTACTTATAATAGGACTGTGATCAACCCTCTAAGCAAATTTTAAAATACCATAATCTTTTCCTGTGTGAGTGCCATGAAGAGTTAAAAATCTAATACACTAGTTAAACTTACGATGTTTCCCAGTGTAGCAGCATTATGGTTTAAAAGTTTTAGACAAGTTCTGCAGGCATGTATGTGAAAAAGCTTATTAAAAAGCTTATCAATATGGAAATAAGCTTAAAACTGACCTTCTAAAATCTCGACTAGTTCTACTTGTTCAATGAGTGAGTTTCTTGCAAAACTACTTCTAACTCTTGCCAAAATAACAGGCTTCTCTGACTCTTCCCTCCATCCTCCAGCAGCTTCTTTGAATTCTGTAAGTAATGCAAAAATGTCATTTAGAAATGAGGGGTTTGTTCCATCCAGGCAGTCTGCATTTCTTCCAAAGCACTGGAGTTTTTCAGAGTCTTGCGTTAGACCAGAACTTCTTCCTGGCGTTTATGGGTCAAAGTTGCATAAAACTGATTTTAGGTTTTCAGGGCTTCAGACTCTAAGGAGTGGAAAGGCCAAGAATCTGCCTTCCTTTGCTGTGTTCAGATGGGAAAAAGTACATCTGAAGTGGAGGTATTCATTTGCCTTCCAGAAACTTGTACAAATGATTTAGAGCATCTAACCAGATGTCTGGTTCTCAGTGAACTCCTCATTAAGTTCAACATGAAAGCTTCTGATTTTTTTTCATTCAACATGGTTAAATTTGCCTTTTTTTGAAGCAGGGATGTGACTTGCGGATTGTTTACAAAACAGTTTTTGAACAGATTCCAGAAAGCCAAAATATCTTTTCTTGTAAACCTCACTGCAAGATAAATGTGGTTTAGAAAATGCTGCTTGTGCAGTTCTTTACCTTCTGTGGGTAAGAAGAGTCAGTACCTCTGAAGAGTCTAGCATTTCTCTTTGCAGGGTAGTACATTGCAAAGCAAATATTGTTTTATTTTGGGGTTGGTCTCTCGCTTGTTGCAGTTGCTCAAATGAGCCAACTCTTTGAGAACTACTGGGCTTTTTTTACCAAGCTGATTTATGTGCTCCCCACTGCTTTTCAGTCAGATACTTTATCTCATTACCATTGTACAGCCCATGGGCCACAAACACAACCCCACTTGAAAAACAGGGGATGAATAGCACATTGCAAAAGAGGAAAATATACAGCCCAGCAGGCTGGCCCTCAAAGCAGGCCGTGTTTATCGGAGTGAAATAAATCTCTCTCCCACTTCCCGGCCACCACAGTGGCATTTTTCAGGAGGAAGTAGCTCAGCCCAAAGCCAGGTGATAGTAATGGCTAGACCAGAGGCTCCCAATCCCTGTCCTAACAGCTACCAGGGAAGTTAAACAGTCATCTTTGTTTCTGACCCCAAAACAAACCCCGTTGGTGCAAATCATATCTGGAATTAAATCTCTGCAAAGCTCATCATCTGCATTGGGATAGCAATAGAAAATGTACTGATTGTTATATACATCAGGTATAATCCTGCCCCCTTTTCCCTGGCTTTACTGTCCGTGTGAGTCTTTGAAAGGAATGAGAGCATGCTTGGGACTAAGAAACCTTTGAAGAAAAAGATAGTGAGGATTAAGGCTCCTAGAAATCAGATGCCATTTTAATTAATGGTAGAATCTTTTTTGGGATTAATACATTAAAATGCTAGCTTTATGCTGCAAAGATGTGTCTCAAATAGGGTTGTCAATGGCTTGAAATGCTAGCGGATTATTTTCAGATCTTTCTGAGTATGAAAAATAGTGCAAAAAAGGAGAAAAAAATCCCCCTTTAATTCCAGAGGAATTATGCAAAGTCATCATGGTAACCCTTTGATAGGCTTATTTGCATAAGTTGGTTATAATCTGGGTGGCATTTAATTCCCACATAGATCCTTCAGTATTTATGTTGTAGGAATTTTTACTCTTGATGTGGCAGCATCTCACCTTGAGGTGTGCTTTTGTGCCACACTTATTTGCTTAGCTGTAATGGAGACAGAAGTAATTAGATGCCATTTCAAGTACCTTCTTGTTCTCTTTTCACAGGAATAGATGGTGGAGCTGGGTTCTGGAGGGTTTGCATGTTTGGCTTTTCACTGTTCCCCTCCCCACAGGTCAACTCCCTTTCACGTGTTAAGCAATAAGACGTATTTTGTTTCAGTCTGATTACTCAGAGTATAAACACAGAAGTAGATTGCGTGGTTTTGCTCCTGTATCACAAAAGGAAGGCAGTAAACTTTATTCATATGAAACTTCATTTGAGATTTTTATCTTTAAAACTATTTTTTGTGTTTGTGATTTTTTTTAAGGTGCTGGGAACCCAAATTGCAAAGTTGCAATTGTAATGGGAAAAACAAAAAACTCCTCAGCGTCCAGGTAAGGATTCCTAGGAGATTCAAAGAGTTATCCAAAACTTGTTTTCTGAAGGAGTCACTGCTTGCAAAAAATTTAAGTGAAATACCTTTAATTTTTTTGATTTGTTTGGTTGGATGTGCTCATGAATTACAGGGCAGTTTCAAATCTGTGCATGTGTCTGTTTAAAGAAAATGATAATAAACCCAAAACTTTTCAGAGCTTTTCTGAAGAAAATGAGTGCAAGTAAAACATCAGAGACCTGAAGTTGTCTACTAAGTTTTTGACAAAAGTTATCTGTAGGTATAGAAAGTAGATATAGAAAGTTAAGTTTGAAACGTTGGCTGTTTGTTATGTGAAGTTTTGTGAGCAGAGAGAATTGCACATCT